TTTATTTCTGCTGACTAAATGCAAAGCTTTTCCCTCCTCTGACACAATAGATTCCCCATCTGAATTATCCTTTTGAACATTCTAACACTCAAAATGTACTGCATTCTAAAAATATTGTCCACCCTTCAATGTATATTTATTAACCTATATGTTCAGGGCTCTGTGCTAGCCACATTTAGGTAAATTTAGACAATTAGTAATGCACTTAAACTATTGCTTACGTGTGTGTGGTGTTCTGAAATGTTAATTGTTATGTTTTAAGAAGCAAATGGGATTGATTGATTTAGCTGCCTAGCTAAACAGATAATCAATGTATTGATGAATGAAATACTTTGTGTTTTGATTAATGAAGTAGTCTTTAACTTACAAATATTTCCTTGCAAAAACTAATATATTGGTTTTATTTAGAAGTCTATTGCATATGAGAGAGTTTATATTTAGTTACCACGTAACTAAACATTTAATGATCAGCTTTGTACACTGTTAATGTTTTTAAGACATTTATATTTATTGATCTGTGAGCAGTTCAGGTAAATGTTAACCTGAATCTATCTATGCAACCAAAAAATCTGCCATTTCGTTGCTAAGCAGTCCATTGGATTGTGTTAGACAGATAAGGGAAATGAAGAAATCATAATGTATCTACACTTTAGTGGAGTCTTGTGGAGAATTCTCCCAGTAAAATCTTACAGAAAGGTATGGAAATATTGGTAGCATATTAGTAAACTTGATGCACTGGGAACTAGTTGATCATACTCAAAGTTTGCTGATCTAGTTCCACTCAGAATGCTGCTTCAGTGGTGTATGTCAGGTTTTGTGTTCTTGCAGGCTTGTCTACATTTTTATCCTTGAAGTATTTGAAAATACAGAAGCCATGCTTATTACACATGTTACATGGGTATTTTGGAAATCAAAACTAAGAATTAAAAGTTGTGATAAGACTCTGAGAGCACAAGGATTATGGGAAGGGAACTGGCTAGAAGCTTCTAGAAATTAAAGAAGAGAGAGAGGGAAACGTGAGAAATAAAATCAGAGGTTTTCTATTCTACCTTCTAATCTATAAAATCAAATACTGATTTAAAAAGGCAATTAATGCTATAAAAAGCTTTGTTTTTTTTTTTTTTTAAAGATTTTATTTATTTGATAGAGCGAGCACAAGCAGGGGAAGGGGCAGAGGGAGATGCAGACTCCCTGCTGAGCAAGGATCCCAATTTGGGGCTCAATCCCGGGACCCTGGGATCATGACCTGAGCCGAAAGCAGCCGCTTAAACCCAGCCACCCAGGTGCTCCTGTTTTTCTTAATCATTTTCACCCATGAGATTAAACAGAGATGGTGGTTTGTTAGGAATTGTACTTGGCTAATAATAATAATAGAATCCTGAGTGAAGAAGAGGACACAGAGGTTTAGGTACATTAGGAACTTATTCTTCTTTCATACAGCATGAGGTCAGGAGTTATGCAGCCCAGGGCTGGAGTGGTAGCTCTGTAGTCATGAAAAACTGAGGCTCCTTCTATTTTTCTGTTCTGCCATCCAGAGCATGCATTGAGAAAGCTCCATACCATTTTCCATAGTGGCTGCACCAATTGCATTCCGACCAACAGTCCACCAACAAGTTTCCTTTTTCTCCACATCCTCACCAGCACTTGTTATTTCTTGTGTTTTTTATTTTAGCCATTCTGACAGGTGTAAAGTGATATCTCATTGTGGTTTTGATTTGCATTTCCCTGATGATTAGTGATGAAACAAAACAAATGAACAAAGAGAAAACCCCCCCAAACACCAGACTCTTAAATACAGAGAACAAACTAGTGGTTGCCAGAGGGGAGGTGGGTGGGGCATGGGTGAACTAGATAAAGGGGGGGCTACACTTATCTTGATGAGCCCTGAGAAATGTATGGAATTGTTGAGTCACTATATTCTAAACCTGAAACTAATATAACACTGCATGCTAATTATACTTTAAAAAGATGGAGATTATCAGATCAAATAAAATAATACCCAACTATATGCTATCTACAGGAAAGCCATTTTAAATGTAAAGATGTAGATAATATAAATAGAAAGATAATTAGATAGAAAAGTAAAAGCATAGAGAAATATATGCTGTGTAAACATTAGTTAAAAGAAAGCTGGGGTGGCTACATTGATATCAAATAGACTTCAGAACTAAGAATATTACCAGGGAAAAAGAGGGGGTGTTTCAAATGTTAACATCAAAATGTTATCAGGATATAATAATCCTACAGGTGTATATACCTAACTAGTACTTTAAAAGATGCAGCAAAAAAAAGAACTGAAAAGAGAAATAAGCAAATCCACAATGATGCTTGATGACCTCAACACTTCTCTCAGTAATTGATAAAGCAAATAGAAATACTTTAAGGACACGGAATACCTGAACAGCATTCTCTCTCACTCTTTTTTTTAAAAAAGATTTTATTGGGCGCCTGGGTGGCTCAGTTGGTTAAGCAACTGCCTTCGGCTCAGGTCATGATCCTGGAGTCCCGGGATCGAGTCCCGCATCGGGCTCCCTGCTTGGGAGGGAGTCTGCTTCTCCCTCTCATGCTCTCTGTCTCTCATTCTCTCTCTCTCAAATAAATAAATAAAATCTTAAAAAAAAAAGATTTTATTTATTTATTTGTCAGAGAGAGAGAGAGAGCACAAGTAGGGGGGCAGCAGAGGGAGAGGGAGAAGCAGGCTCCCCGCTGAGCAGGGAGCCCGACATGGGACTTGATCTCAGACCCCAGAATGATGACCTGAGCCGAAGGCAGACGTTTAACTGACGGAGCCACCCAGGCGCCCCCCTGAACAGCATTCTCAAACAATTTGACCTTAGTGATCTTTAGAGGATACCTCACCCAAGGTACCTGAATGCATAGTCTTTTCAAGGACATGTGAAACATTTACCAAGATAGACCATATTCTGCAGAAAAAAACAAACCTCTACAACGTAAAAGATTTGAAGTCATACAGAGTAATGTTTTTTGACCATAATGGAATTAACTAGAAATCAGTAACAAAAAGACACCTGGAAATGTGAAATAGTTGGAAAATTAACAAATGCTTCTAAATAACTCATGGGTCAAAGAATAAGTCTTTGATATTTTGAATTGAATGAATGAGAAAGGACAATATATTAAAATCTGTGGGAGGCAGCTAAAACAGTGCTTAGAGGGAAATTCATATTAAACATTTATATTTGAAAAGAAGAATTGTCTTAAATGAAGATTTAAGCTTCCACATTATGAAACTATAAAGAGAAGAGCAAATTAAACCCAAAGCAAACAGGGAAGAAAATAATGATGGTAAGAGCAGCAAACAGGGGCGCCTGGGTGGTTCAGTTGGTTAAGCGACTGCCTTCGGCTCAGGTCATGATCTTGGAGTCCCTGGATCGAGTCCCGCATTGGGCTCCCTGCTTGTCAGGGAGCCTGCTTCTCCCTCTGACCCTCCCCCCTCTCATGTGCTTTCTCTCTCTCTCATTCTTTCTCTCAAATAAATAAATAAAATCTTAAAAAAAAAAAAAAGAGCAGCAAACAGTGGAATTGGAAACAAAAAAATATATATAGAAAAAAACTAATAAAACCAAAAGTTTGCTCTTTGAAAATATAAGTAAATTTGATAAAACTCTAAATGATGAAGAACAATACTTCTTCAAAGTGATTTCTGGGTAGAGCTTTTTCCTATGTGCATAACAGTAATATAATTTCAATCATTTTTTCATTTAACAAATATTTATCACTTATGATATACTAGGCACTAATCAGTGTTCAAACCAAAACAAAAATTCCTGCTGACAGCCCAACTAGCAAAATTTTAATTAGAGGCTACTTGATAAGAAGCTATACATAAATCATGTTTTTTGTAGAGTTCTTGTCGAAATTGCTAGCCAAACGGGAGTAAATGCTTTCAAAATGTTTTGCACTGTATCCGTATGATCAATTTGACTTTTGTGGTAACTGGATTTATATGATCTCCCAAAAGACAGAAACCTTGACAATTACCATCCCCCCCAACACACACACACACACACACACACACACACACTTCTCTTCTAATGTAGAAAACAATTTGATTCTAAGGTGAAGTCCACAAACCCAATAGGATTATCTATTTACTGCTAATTTCCTTGCATTTCAGTTTGGGAAGTTTCTCCTGACATATCTTCAAGCTCACTGATTCTCTCCACAGTGTTGTCCGGTCTCCTATAAGCCAGCGAGGGCATTCTTCATTTGTTACATTATTTCTTAGTTTCAGAATTTCCTTTGGATTCTTTCAGTTTCCATTTCCCTGTGTACATTATCCATCCGTTGTCCCCATTTTCCATCAGATCCTTTAGCATATTAAGCATAGTTATTTTATATTACTGTTTAATAATCCTCCAATCTGTGTCATAGCTCAGTCTAGATCTAATGCTTATTTTGCCTTTCATACTGAGTTTTTTCTTGCCTTTAGCCTTGCTGTTTTTTGTTGAAAACTGACTGTGGTATCTTGGGTGGCAGGGATTGAGGTAAATAGTGCTTTAATGTGAGGGTTTTTATTACACAACTAGGAGTTGGGTTGTGTTTAATATTTGCTGTAGCTGTTCATTCTAGAAGCTTTAAATTCCTCTAGTATTTGTGTTTTTGTCTCCTGTTGTCTTTGGATTTCCTTAAGCATTCCTTGTCAGTGTGTGTCTGCAGGGCTTGCAGCTGTCCTCCACTGTTGTTATATGGAAGCACTGTTGGTGCAGTGGGAAAGCGTGGGAAGAAAAGTGTTCTATAATTTTATCATTAAACCTCTTTTAGTGTCCTTGGGCTGTGACCTTCACAACCGTTTCTTAGCTCCCTCCTCTCTACTTATGAGAGACAGGAAGGCTGGAGGAGGCTGTGGTCAGAGAACTGTCCTTGCCCTGGGTGGGATATGGCTTTGCTAAAGTCTTTTCTTCTGGAAAGTAGGCCTTTATTAAGGAGAAGGCTCTGGATATATTTGACAATAATTATTAATCTTATCCCCTTACTAGAGCCACAAGAGATCTTTCTTGGTTTTTCATGGTGAGAACTTGCTGGAGTTCCTGGAAACAAAACCCACGGAAGTGTTGGGGCCCCCCACGACTGCAGCCCCCAGTAGCTTCACTCACACTAGCCTCACTCAGTCTCCAGGAGTTCATCAAATTTACCATTCAAGTATTCCTCCTTTCTGGCTTCAGAGGCTTCTGCTCTAGGTAAGTAGGTCCCAGATGTGACTCCCTGGATTCACCTCTCCAGATTTCAGGGTTGTGGTGTGTCCTGTGACTTCAGTTCTACAATGACTCCAAGAAAAATCAGTAGTTTTTAGTTTGTTCAGCTTCTTCTGGTAGTGAGGATGGAAGTGATAACTTCAAGCTTTTACATTTTAGAGCTAAAACTGGAAGTCCTCTTGGTTATTAATCTTAAAGCAGACATATTGCTGCATATGATGGACTTCAAATTAGATAACATGAACTAAGTCAAGTTCTCACACTATCTTTAATTTTGTTGTTGTTTTTAAAGGATTTCTCGGTCATCTCTAAAATCAATATATTTGACTAATTTCTCTGACTCATTCCTATTCTTAAATACTCCCATTTAAAATGGACTTTAGCATCTACCTGCCAATAAAATAAACCTGATCACATCCTGCCACCATCTATCTGCCCTCTCATTGGTACCTGGACCATGTATTCCACAGCAGAAGATCCATGTGACCCATACATTTTATTAACAAAGTTTACCAACAGCATCTGTTAGGGGTTGAGGTGAAGGCGGCTGCAAGCACCCACTACCCAAAAAGCCTCCCAGTTACCCCGCTAGGGGGACGATGACCGTGCCTCCTACTGCTAAACGTGAAACCAGTCTGCAACTCACCATAACCAGCATTGAGGGCACAGGACTTTCTGTGAGTGGAAAGTGATTTTGGCCCCATGTACTAGACAAGAATTTGCATATTTCTTTCTTTCTTTCTTTCTTTCTTTCTTTCTTTCTTTCTTTCTTTCTTTCTTTCTTTTTCTTTCTTTCTTTCTTTTCTTTCTTTCTTCTTTCTTTTCTTTTTTTCTTTCTTTCTTTCTTTCTTTTTCTTTCTTTCTTTCTTTCTTTTTCTTTCTTTCTTTCTTTTTCTTTCTTTCTTTCTTTTCTTTCTTTCTTCTTTCTTTTCTTTTTTTCTTTCTTTCTTTCTTTCTTTCTTTCTTTCTTTCTTTCTTTCTTTCTTTCTTTCTTTCTTTCTTTCTTCTTTCTTTCTTTCTTTTTTAAGATTTTATTTATTTATTTGAGACAGAATGAGAGAGAGAGAGCACATGAGAGGGGAGGAGGGTCAGAGGGAGAAGCAGGCTCCCTGCCGAGCAGGGAGCCCGATGCGGGACTCGATCCCGGGACTCCAGGATCATGACCTGAGCCGAAGGCAGTCGCTTAACCAACTGAGCCACCCAGGCGCCCTCTTTTTTTTTTTTTTTTTAATATTTTATTTATTTGACAGAGACGCAGCGAGAGCAGGAACACACGCAGGGGGAGCGGGAGAGGGAGAAGCAGGCTTCCCGCCGAGCAGGGAGCCCGATGCGGGGCTCGATCCCGAGACACTGCGATCATGACCTGAGCCAAGGCAGACCCTCAACGACTGAGCCACCCAGGCGCCCCAGGAGTTTGCGTATTTCTGTGTAAACCGTTTCCGCAGACCTTCCCCGTGACTCCCAACCCCACCCAAATCACAGAATTCAGCAGCTTGAGCGAAATCGCGAGCGCCCTAAAGGGCTGCAAAGAGCTCGCGCCAGGATACGGGATTTGAACTTCCCGCCTAGTCTCTTAGACCAGGAGAAGCCGCCTCCCTGCCAGCCTCCCAAGAAGCTCAGTGCCGATTGGCTCTTGCTGCGCACTAGGAGAGGCCGCGCCCTGCGTCGGCGGGCGCTGCGCCCGCTGGGGCAGCGGCCGTTGCCAGGAAACCGCGTAAACATCGGAGCTCTCAGCCCGCCGCTGCGTTTGCAGCGGGAGGTGGTGGCCGCTGGATCCCGAGACGGGGATTTTCCTCTGCCGAGATGGTGAGCCCGTCGGCGGTCTCCAAACCACTTGTTTATCTACTGATTTAATTGTAGTTTGGAGCCTCCCTGCGTCTAAAAAAGGGTTTGGAGTGCCTAATCTGAGAATTAAGTGGGAAACGCGTTCAGTTTGCTTTCGGAGGCCTCCTGTGCTATTGTTTAAGCCACGCTCGCGGTGGCTTCCAGCCTTTTCAAATTCTGACTCTATTAGTTCTGCCCGGTGAAAATTTTGTTTGCCGTATTTCTGGAAATTTGGGAAAAGATTAAGAACGTTGAAAAAATAAGTGGGGAAAAAAGTTCAGGAGAGAGCAAATGAATTAAGTAGCAGCGGACTGACCTATTAAATCCGTATTAGGAAAACCTGGCCAGCTTTTTTCAGAATGGCACTTCCTGGCCTAGGGGTAAGCGAGGCGCAGGGGTGGGGTTGGGGTGGGGAATGAGGAGAGGAGGAATTCCCTGTGTGGTGGTTAAGAGCTAGTCTATAGAGCTCGTCTGCGGGTCTTTGAATCCTAGTACTGCTATTTATTTAAGCCGAGGAACCTTGGATAAAGTTGCTTTTCCTTTTCATGTCTCATCTATAAGATGGGGAATAATAAAAGTAATTTATTGATATACCAATATGTTTATCTACCATGTGTAGATACCTTTTTTATTATGTTACAGTTCTCTGAATTTAGGAAGGAAGCCAAAAGCCCTTTGTTTATTACTGTTACCGATTTTTGTACCTAGGGCTTGCAGCGGTATACTTTTAAAAATTAAATTTTGGAATACCAAAGTATGCATACTTTTTTTTCTCTCCATTATAGGCTTCTAAAAGGCGAACTTTGAGCTTCAGTGAAAGGCATCAGAAACGAGTAGATAAAAATTACTGCAAACAACTGCATGTCCAATCAGTAAGAAAGATACAAAATCAAATCAGGGACCAAATGGTGCAGAATGAAAATGATGACCTCGTGGAGCGTAAGAGATTCCTCAGATTATTACAGAATGAACAATTTGAGTTGGATATGGAAGAGGCCATTCAAAAGGTACATTTTACTATTCATTCTGACATTTTTTTCTTCATTTTCTCGTTGGAAATGAGATCCAGCTGCTGATACTGGAATTGAGTAGATAGATAGTAACATTAGGTAAAGGATGTCTCATCGTAAGTCAGCCCAGTGTAGTGGTAAAGAGCTGGGTTTTTGGAGTTAGACTGTATGACTTTAAATCCTAGTACCGCTGTATGTAAGCAAGCTCTGGAACCCTGGGTAAATTGATTTTACTTTTCTGCCTCATCTATAAAATGGCATTTATAATAGTACCCACTTTGTAGGAGTTTTAATAATTAATAGTTAGTACATGCAAAGCACTTAATAGTGCCTGTAACAGTAAGACTCAGGGTTTTGTTATGTTTTGTTTTCATAAATATGAAATCCGTAATTACTGACTTCCACAGTTTTGTTCATGTAAGTAAAATTAGGTTGCTTTCCATAAAATTCAAAAGACAAAAATTTAAGTGTACCTTTTTTGAATTTACTGAGATTAAACATGTACATTATTCAGTGGTAGAAAATGAACTTGTATGTATTAGGTATGAATGTGCTAATAGTTTTGATTTTGAAATGCTGCCTTGAAGAATTCAAGTACAGTATGTATATAATTCCTAAATATGGAGATAATTTTTCTGTGGAAACTTCTAAATATTTTAAAGGATGAGGGTAGTAAAAAGGGGAAACCAATAAGAAATGAGTTCTCATAAATGTGAAAAAGGTTTTCTGATATTTCAAAATTTTTTTAGTTCCTGCTGTATGTTCAACATTTTATAGAATATTGTGAGGAATGGCAAAAGCAACTTTTAAAAGTGGTATCCATCCCTCTGAGTTATAAATTCATAAGGCTTAGACATGACTTTTCAACTCTGAGCAAGAAGATCCTAGGGATTAGATTTTTTTCCCCATTCTTTTTATTCTTATTTTTTCTTTAATTTTAAAGGAAATCCCAGATATCATAGCACCTATTTCCTGTATACTTCAGTATGTATCTTACAAAATGTAGATATTTTCTTACATAGTAGTAGAATAATACCACGGTCTCAACTAATACATTTAACAGTAAATTCTAGGCATTATTTAATGCCATTCCATAATCAAGTTTTTGTGATTGTGTCAAAATCTGCTTTTACAGTTGGTTTGTTTTAATCAGGATCCAAATAAGATTCATACAGTATATTTGGTTGTCATGTCTGTTAGGTACCTCTTAATGTAAAACAGTCCCTCCCTCATTCATCCTTTTTTTTAATTTTCTTAAGTGGGAGAAAGAGGCTGGAGGGAGGGGCAGAGGGAGAGGGTGAGAGAGAATCTTAAGCAGGCTCATGCCTAATATGGAGCTGATGTGGGGCTCAATCTCATAACCCTGAGATCATGACCCAAGCCAAAATCAAGAGTCAGATAGGTGCTTAACCGACTGAGCCACCCAGGCGCCCCCCCATCCTTTATTTTTTTAACTTCATGTTTTTAACTTGTCAAATTAGGCCAGTTTTGTAGGATATCCTGTATTCTGAATTTACCTGTTTGCTTTCTCATTTGTTCATTTAATTTGTTTCCCTAATTTTTATATTTCCTCAAAATGGACGTTAATCCTAAAGGCCTGTTTAGATTTAGGTACAACGTTTGGCAAGCACTCCATAGGTGATGCTGTCCTTGATATTGTACCATATCTGCAGGCACATGATGTCTGCTTGGTCCACTTGTAGTGATGCTCGTGTTGATAAACATGTACATTCTGGTACCTCTGTTGTAAAATTCCCAATCAGCCTTTCATCTGTGGTTTCGCAAATGAATCTTTCCTTTCGTTAGGGGTTGCAAGACACTGATTTTCTAATTTCGTTATTCCTTTCACATTTAATTAGCTGAAATTCCTTTGTAAAGAACTTTCCCGCATCAACTAGGGTTATTTAGTACCCTGAAATATAGTTATTACTGGAAAGGGAGATATATACTTAATTTTCAGAGTTGGTGCTCTGGTCACTTCCGTTGGTGTCTGTCAATGTTGTTTTTTAAAATTTTCTTTAGTTTTTGACTTTTTCCTTTTTAAAAAAATCTTTATGGACTCATGGGTCTTTAATACTTGAATTAATTGCATTTATTATCCTTTTTGATGCTCAGATTGCCCCATCTTTGGCCAATGGATGCCTTTATTGGTTCTGTGTCCTTTTGACAAGACTCCCTTGATCTGTGATAGCTTCCTTGCTTTCTGTCAGAACAAAATGTTCCAGGCTAGTGATGATTAATTTTGTGTGTTGACTTTGACTGGGCCATGGGGTGCCCAGATAGTTTGTCAGACATTATCATGGGTGTTTGGGGATGAGGTTAACATTTAAATTGGCATACTGAGTAAAGCAGATTGTCCTCTCTAATGTGGGTGATGAAGGCCTGAATAGAACAAAATGGCTGAATAAAAGGAAACTGCTCCTTCCTGACTGCCTTCTAATTTGGGACATCAGCTTTTTTCCTGCCTTCACAACTGATCTGAAATACCAGCTCATTTTGAGTCTCAAGCCTGTCAGCCTTTGGACAGGAACTACACTATTGGTTCTCTTGTTTCTCAGGCCTTTGTGCTTAGACTGGAACTAAGCCACTGGCTCTCCTGGGTCTCTGGCTTTCTGACTCACCCTTCAGATCTTGGGAATCACTTGAGCTGATTCATTATCCTGTTCTTTTTCTCTGGCTAATGCAAGGCTCATCTTGTAAATTTCTTGCTTCACACCTGGAGTCAGCCATCATACCAAAGAGCTCTATTATCGTCTAGTGGAAATAATATTTAGAGACAATTTCTGAGATAAATTTAGATTTATAATTAAGTTGCAAAAAATAGTATAGAGAATTCCTGTATACCCTTCACCTGATTTCCCCTTATGTTAACATCTTACATAATCATAGAACAATTATCAAAATGAAGAAATTAGCCTTGGTACAATATGTTAACTATAGGATTTATTCAGATCTCATCAGTTTTTTTCCATTAACATCTGTTTTCTGTTCCAAGAATACAAACTACCTTTAGTTGTCATGTCTCCATAGTCTCCTTCAGTCTGTAAGAGTTTTTCACTTTTTCCTGTCTTTCATGACCTTGACAATTTTAAATACTAGTTTTCTGTTGCTGTGTAACAAATTACCACAAATCTAGTGGCTAAAAACATCCATTTATTACCTCACAGTTTCTGTAGGTCAGAAATCTAGACATGGTATGTAGCTGGATTGACCACTTGATCTCACAAGGCTGAAATCCAGGTGTTGTCTAGAATGCATTCTCATCTGAATCTTGGGGTCCTCTACTAAACTTATTTAAGTTGGCAGAATTCATGTTCTCATAGTTGTAAGACTGAGGCCCATATCTCTCAGAGATTGCTGACATTCCCTGCCATGTGATCCTCTCCACAACATGGCAGTCTGCTTCTGGTTTTCTGGTTTTCTTCTTGGTGTTGATTTCTAGTTTATACCATTGTGGTTGGAAAAGGTGCTTGATACGATATCAATCTTGATTTTATTGAGACTTTTTTTGTGGGCTAACATGTGGTCTGTCCTGGAAAATGTTCCATGTGGACTTGAGAAGAATGTGTATTCTGCTGCTTTTGGATGAAATGTTCTGTATGTATCTATTAGGTCCACCTGGTGTAAGGTGTTGTTTAAGACTGATGTTTCCTTATTGATTTTCTTATTTCTGTCAGATGTTGTAAGTAGGGTGTTAAAGTCCCCTACCATTATTGTATTGCTGTCAATTTCCCCCTTTCAGTGTGTTCATATTTGCTTTATATATTTTGGTGCTCCTCTTATTGGGTACATATATATTTATAAACTTTATATCTTCTTGTTTGACTCCTTAATCATTATGTAATGCCCTTCTTTGTCTTTTATTACAGTCTTTGTTTTAAAGCTTTTTGTGTTTGATAAGAGTATAGCTACACCAGTTTTCTTTTCATGGATATCGTTTTTCTTGTGGTTGTCTTTCTTTAGTGTTGTGTTTAGATTCCTTTCTCATTTTCTTTTATTGACTGTAAGTTTTTGCTGTGTGGTTGCCATGAGGTAATATATATATATAACATGTATAACACCCTATGTATAGAACAGTCTATTTTAGGTTGATACCAAATTAAACTTGAACTCATTCCAGAACTCTCCATTTTTACCCCCCCCCACATTTTATGTTTTTGATGTCACATTTTACCTCTTATTTTATGTATCCTTTAATTAATTATTGTAGTTCTAGTTTATTTTACTATTTTTGTCTTTTCATACTAGCTTTATAGGTTGATTTATCCACTACCTTCACTACATAATTTACCTTTTCCAAAGAGATTTTTACTTCATATGTTTTCTTGTTAATTAGAGCCATTTCTTTTCAGCTTAAAAGGTCCCTTTAACATTTCTTGAAAAAACACTTTAGTGGTGATGAACTCCTTTAGCTTTTGCTTTTCTGAAAAACTCTTTCCTTCAATTCTGAGTGTTTGCTGGGTAGAGTATTCTTGGTTGGAAGTTCTTTCCTTTCAGTACTTTATATATGTCATGTCACTCGCTTCTGGCCTGCACAGTTTTTGCTGTAAAATCTGCTGATAGCCCTGTGGGTTTTTTGTGTTTTTTTTTTTGTATGTAACAAATTGCTTGTATTGCTTTTAAGATTTTTCTCTTTAACTTTTGACATTTCAATTATAATGTGTCTTGGTGTGGATCTCTTTGGGTTCATTTTATTTGGAACTCTGGGCTTTTTGGACCTGGATGTCTGTTTCTTTCCCCAGGTTAGGTAAGTTTTCAGCCATTATTTCTTCAAGTAAGTTTTCTGCTCCTTCCCTCTCTCATCTCCTTTGGGAACCCTATAATGCAAATACTGTTTCGCTTAATGATGTCCCATAGATCTCTTAATTTATCTTCATTTTTTTAGAATTCCTTTTTCTTTTTGCTCCTCTGTCTGGGTGAGTTCAGGGCTTTGTTTTCTAGCTCTCTAATCCATCCTTCTGTTTTATCCAGTCTGCTGTAGAATCCCCCAGTGTATT